GTGAAGCGCCACATGATGACTCGACAGATCGGGCCACCAAGGAAGCAGTTTCGAGACCTATACGTTCAACGTCATAATAACGTCAGGTACGTTGACGGTAACGCTGGTTTGTTTGCGTTTATCATAAAGCAATACATGGTACGTGTGAACCCATCCTTTTCCTTTGTTTTATCTTATGTGATGTTTATGTGATGTTTATTTTTTTACCTCTTTTTTACACGAACAGGAAAAAAAGTATGAAGTACTATTTAAATAGCTTTAGTCTCTTTCAAATACTTGGGAATGTTTATGGTTTCTGTAACGAAGCATGACTTAGGACTAGTTTGAGTCACGGCTCGGAATTAGCTCGAAAATTTCGTCATTTTTTCCTTCTTTCTTGCCGTCACCCTGTCTGTCTGTGTCTGTTTGTTTGCCTGTCTGTCTATTTGTTTGTCTGTTTGTTTCATTGTCTGTTTGTCTTACTGTATATCTGTTTATCCGTCTGTCTGTTTTTTTTGTCTATCTATTTGTCTGTCTGTCTGTTTCCCTGCCCTGTATGTCTATCTGTCTGTGCATCTATCTATTTGCCTCATAATACTTCATCCATTCATTTATCTATCTACTCCTACCTGCAACATATTTTTTCAACATCTCTTCCCTACGTTTCCTTGCCTGCAGTATCCTCTACGCCGACATCGTCAACTTCACGCCTCTGTCGGAACAGCTGAGTGCCAGCGACCTAGTAACTACACTCAACAACCTCTTCGGGAGTTTTGACCAAATAGCCCAGGTGAGACGCTTATATTTACACACACATACACACACACACTCACACATACACAAAAACAAATAAACAAGCAAACACATGCGAAACAATTACAAACATAGAAACAAAACAAACAAACCACACAGGAAAACGGAAAATGAGAAACCCAAGTGCCATACCAATCCTCCATCAAGGAACTTATACTAGAAGAGGTGTGCGAGAAATATTTTGTGTGAGGCTTAATTCTTTCGTACGTTGGGGGGGGGGGGCGGGGTTGAGGAGAGGAGGATGTGAGAAGTAGGTGTGTGAGGTTACGAAAGAGGGGGGGGAGGGAGAGAGAGAAAGGGGGGAGAGGGAGAGGGAGAATGAGTAGAGAGAAGGGAGGAGAGGTGGAGACGGAGAGGGAGAGAAAGAGAGAGGGAGGGTGGAGGGATGGAGGAATGGAGGAATGGATGGAGGGATAGAGAGGGAGAGAGAGGAGGGGAGGGAAAAGAGGGAGAGAAAGAAACAGAGACGGAGAGATGATGGTAAAGAGAGAAGGGGGGAGGGAGAGAGAAGGGGAGGGAGAGAAAGAAACAGAGAGAGAGAGAGAGATTGATAGATAGACAGATAGAGAGAGAGAAGGGAAGGTGAGAAGTAGGTGCGCCAGGTTACGAAAGGAAGGAGGTGGAGGGTGGTAAATAGAAAGTCAAAGTCAGAGTCGTTATTCCATTTTTTTTTTTACAAAAAATACATAGATTTACGTAGGAGAAAGAGTGAGAGAGGGGGGGGAGAGGGGGGTGAAGGAGAAGGAGAAGGAGGGAAAGAAACAGAGAGAGAAAGACACACACACACACACACACACACAGAGGAGAGGGAAAGGTGAATAGAGAGAAAGTGAAGGAGTGTAAATAGAAATAGAAAGAGAGCGAGAGAGAGAGAGAGAGAAAGAGAGAGAGTTAGTTAGAAAAAGACAAAAAACAAACAGACACACAGGCATAGTCAGACAAATATACAAAATAGATATGGAAACAGAAATGATGAATTAAAGATACTGACATTTTTTCGACATGCGGCACGTAAAATTTAGATACACTGTTACGAATAAAATGTATAAGCATCAATTTTAATTAGATTTCAGTGAATATTTCGTTGGTTAATAGTGAGAAATGACTTAACCAGGGAATGACAATATATAACACGAAATGATAATAATAACAGCGATACTGCAGATAATGATAATTATATCAATAATAATGACAATAATGATAAAGATAGCAATAATAATGACAATAATGATAATGATGATAATAACAATGATAACAAAAATAATGATAACAATGATAATAATAATAATTATTATTATTATTATTATAATGATAATAATAATAATAATAATAATAATAATAATAATAATAATAATAATAATAATAATAATAATAATAATAATAATAATAACAATAATGATAAGAAGAAGAAGAACAGTAATAATAATCGATATGATAATAATAATAATAATAATAATAACAATAATGATAAGAAGAAGAAGAACAGTAATAATAATCGATATGATAATAATAATAATAAGATTTCGACCTGTAATAGCCATCAAAAATAAGAATATCATTGGATATCATTCCAAATATATTGAATTTGACATCATTCCACATTAATTAGAAAATTAATGTGGAAACGAGCAGAGAAATCTGACTATATAAATCATACAGTAATTGATACAATTTTATGCAGAGAAAACATTTTCCACAATACAAAAAC